CAGCCCCAGTAGACCGTGGCACGGCTGGCGTGTGGGCTGCGGAAGGGGAGGCGTCCGGGCAGGAAGAGCCGTTTGTCCCGGAGGGATCGGGGGATAGACGCGCTGGCATCTTTCAGCCCTCTACCCATGTCGGTGACCGCTTTATCTTTTCGATGTTTTTAAAAACATTGTGTTAGCCAATTTAATTCCACAAACTCTATTTGCACAACAGAGTACAGTAACTAGTTGAGAGCATCTTGTTCTGAACAGTATATTACACTTCTGCCAGCTCCCCCACAGCTGGGAGGGAAGGTCGTAAATAGAATAAGGTCTCTGGAAGGGTTAGCCATTTGAATCTGGTGAAATTTCTCTTCCTGCCCCCATCCCCGCGTTCTAGCAGCGACTGTTTTGAGACTTGGCTATTCTTTAGGCGCTGCTTTTCTATGAGCTCAAATTAGGGGCCCGGAAATACTATCATGTACTGGGAAGGCGGTCTCTCAGTAGCAACTGTAAAAGAGAGTATGCTTGCTGTTAGCCTGCAAAAAAAAAAGGGCAACTTACAAATTAACAGGTGATTGAAAGGATGTTTTAAAAAGTTTAATGTATCTTTTTCTTCATGGATACATGCATGTCAACTGTTTGTTCAGGCTATGAAAGTTGAGCAATAAAATCCAAATGGGGAAAATAGCATCTTTGGCTGTTATTTGTACAAATTAATGTTTTAAGATAAGAAGGTGCAGAATTGTACTGCCTGGATTTATAACTTGTTTTACAAGTATTCTCACATATACTTGGCAAAAATAGATCTTGAAGGAGGTACCTGTTTCACAAGTTCAAAAAAGTTTGGTCACTTTTGAGATTCCTTGCGCATGCATGCAGAGGTTATACATACAATGTGCTATATTTAACAGAATTTTTCAAGTGTGGCCTGCGTGTAACTTTTTGTCCATCTCTTATATTGAATGGAAGGCATGCTAGTTAGTTGATAGCAAACTTAATGCTGGTGATTTATAGTCTGAATTTTTACTTTTTAGTTTAAATTTAGAACTAAACAATTAGCAGATGGATACATAGTGTCTCTCAAAAAGGAAATTCAACATACATATTATATAACATCCTAAAAGTAGGAACCAGATAACTATTCATTTTAAATATCTGAAAATCATTATCAGTAAATGTGATTGCTTAAAACTAGCAAATGCTCAAAAACTGAGCAAGTTTGGAATCATTGAGTGCAATTGTGTACCTGTAAGCTTACATACTTGATTATTATTTCTCCTCTTGGTGATGTGTTTGGTCTTGTTTTCTCATTTATAAAGAAAAGCTTTGCAGCAAAATTTCAGGTCAAACTCCCATTTTCAGTTGTAGCAAGAATCAGGCCTGTAAGTGAATAGAGCTTGGTCTATGCTGTTTTCATAGGCTTTTGAAGCAGTAAGGTTTTGATCCTGCCCAGAACACTTGAGTTTTGCTCTATAAGTGTATATAAAACAGGTAAGTTCTAAAAGCTTTTTCTGCTTTTTCCTTCAGTATGATATACAGTTAGTTCCCCCCCAATAATGTACTAGCTCTTTTTTATTCTGCAACAGGTTTCATCTTCACTCCTAAGAATAAAAGGTAATGGAGACTGAACAACAGGAGGAGACCTTTACCAACACAGAGACAAATGGTAAATTTTTTAAAGGGCTACTTTATTTGGGGGAAATGAATATTTTTTGTCTTGGTGTTTCTAACTATTTTGGAATGCTTTAACTGTGTCGAATGTTTAAATTAATCTTTGAATTTTTAAGCATCCCATGTGGTTTTACTTGATTTTTGTATGATGAATATGTAATTTTTCTTTGTGGATATTTTAGACACAGTATAAGTAACTAAAAGGTTTAATTAAAGAATTGAAAATATTTGTTAGCTAAATACTCAGTACTTGTATGGACAATGTGCTCATGTAAAAATGCTGTCAGGCATATCTATTACTGTATTTTATTTATTGCAGTTGTTACTTTGAAGGAATGTATATGTATATACATGAAATATCTAAATATTAGCTAAGTGAAAGGCCTTTTGGGCATAATTAGTGAAGGAAGAGTTAGGGCATTAGCATTGAGTTGATTCAGGCCAGTTTTTCAAAGCAATTTGAAATACTACTTTCCTACTGTTTCACCGGTATTTCAGTATTGGGCAAACTACTTTTGTTCTTTTGGGCTTTAAGGTTTTCCAAGTTGTAAAAGAAATACTAAGTAGGTGATGCAGCACTGTTGTAAACGGCATGTGATTTTTTAAAATTTTTTTTCACTAAGTTTGAAACATTCTCGTTTCAACTACAGTTAATAGATTTGGAATGAATCTTCAATAATTAATTGATATGTAGACTGATTAAGTAAAAGCCTGTTTCTGTGCTATAGATACTCAAGGTAGATGTCAGAAGTTAGCATTGAGCTTAATGGAGAGGGAATGCTTCATTAGGAATACAGTGCATAACTTGATATACAGTTTTATTATGATTTAGTTAAATATATGTTTGCATTTTCCCCACTATGGACCTGTCTACAGGCAAGCGTCCTGCAGAAGATATGGAAGAAGAACAGGCCTTCAAAAGATCTCGGAATACAGATGAGATGGTTGAGTTGCGCATCTTGCTTCAAAGCAAAGTATGCTTTTTCAGTATCAATATGTTCCTGCTTATACCATTGCTTAAGACTGGTGACAGTATGCGTTCAGGAAGAACATGTGCTTTATGTAAAATAACTTATTAGGAATATTTGTAAGAGTGCATGAATGATAGTAGAAGTATACTGCAATGTTATTATATTTAATACTATTGTTCAAGGATGAGTCTAATAATCTATGGGACTTCTCTGATTTATAGAAATGTACTAATTGAAAAAATGTCATGGTTTAACCCCAGCCAGGAACCAAACACCATGCAGCCACTTGATCACTTCCCCACCAGCAGGATGTGGAAGAGAATCAGAAGGGTAAAAGCTACAAAAACCCATGGGTTGAGATAAAGACAGTTTAATAGAGAAAGCAAAAGCTGCACACACAAGCAAAGCAAAACAAGGAATTAATTCACGGCTTCCCAGGGGCGGGAAGTGTTCAGCCATCTCCAGGAGAGCAGGGTCCCAGCACAAGTAACAGTTCCTTGGGAAAACAGATGCCATAGCTCAAAAGATTTCCC